AGAAGGGGTGGAGGATGGGTGATGGCATAGATGGGGTGGAGGGATGGAAGATGGCAAGATGGGGTGATGGATGGTAGATGGCATAGATGGGGTGTCGGATGGTAGGTGGGGTGTCAGATGGTAGATGGCATAGATGGGGTGTCGGATGGTAGATGACGTGGGGTGATGGATGGTAGATGGCATAGATGGGGTGATGGATGGTAGATGGTGTGATGGATGGTAGATGGCATAGATGGATGATGGGGTGTCGGATGGGGTGATGGATGGTGGATGGGGTGATGGATGGCATAGATGGGGTGTCGGATGGCATAGATGGGGTGTCGGATGGCATAGATGGGGTGTCGGATGGTAGATGGCATAGATGGGGTGTCGGATGGTAGATGGCAAAGATGGGGTGATGGATGGTAGATGGCATAGATGGGGTGTCGGATGGCATAGATGGGGTGTCGGATGGCATAGATGGGGTGTCGGATGGTAGATGGGGGTGGTGGATGGGGTGACAGATTGATGGTTCCTCATGCTAATGGATTTGATGTTTTATTTTTCAGAATGGAACAAAGTCTGGAACCTTCACAAGAAAGGTGAGCAGCTCTCCGGTGACATTGTATATATTATCTTCCTGTGACTGGTTACATTTCTCTTATAATGGATTCCCATGTTTGTTCAATGTAAACTGCGCTCTATCACAAGACCAGAACAACATTTGTCTAAACCCGTGCCAACCAATCGGATGTTCCCTTTGATTCTCTCACGCTGCACTGATGATAGGACCGGAGGATCTGATTGGTTGCCGTGGGCTGTATAAACGGCCTGTGTCGGCTCTGTGCCCAGTCACTATGGTGAACGAGGCTCTCTGACATTAATTGACCCTTCCCAGGACTGTCTCTATAATATCACTTTATTACCTGCTTCTGCTCTGTAGATAGTGAGACATGGCAGCTGCAGTTCCTTCACCGAAGTCTCTCCATAACGAGGGCTAAATATTGACATCAGTGCGTTCAGAGGCCATAACTGCAGGCTGCCATTTAAATGTCACAGTACGTATATCAGGGGTACCGTGAGCATGCTCTGGCCCAGTACAATGGGCCAATCACCAGCGGTACCATATGGGGTAGGAAAGAAAGTTTAGGGGTCACATCAGCGGTCGTTGTATTCTTGCCTTGGTCAGAGGCTGCGTCTGACCTGCTTTGCGTTTCCTTGGGGTGCAGCATTTCCTATTGAGGTGTCAAACGCTGCGTTTCGTCATTTGAACGCACACAACTGCATTTCGATGGAAACGGCTTGACAAGAACGCCCGCCGACGTGAGCCCACAAGCAGCTGTGATGGTCGCCATTGAAGTGGACCTGCTGCTTTGATCTCCATAGGCACAGCACACGTTCACTTTAAAAACTGTTTTTAATGGTGGTGTAGGAACTGGGAGGGGTCTGTGTAGGAACTGGGAGGGGTCTGTGTAGGAACTGGGAGGGGTCTGTGTAGGAACTGGGAGGGGTCTGTGTAGGAACTGGGAGGGGTCTGTGTAGGAACTGGGAGGGGTCTGTGTAGGAACTGGGAGGGGTCTGTGTAGGAACTGGGAGGGGTCTGTGTAGGAACTGGGAGGGGTCTGTGTAGGAACTGGGAGGGGTCTGTGTAGGAACTGGGAGGGGTCTGTGTAGGAACTGGGAGGGGTCTGTGTAGGAACTGGGAGGGGTCTGTGTAGGAACTGGGAGGGGTCTGTGTAGGAACTGGGAGGGGTCTGTGTAGGAACTGGGAGGGGTCTGTGTAGGAACTGGGAGGGGTCTGTGTAGGAACTGGGAGGGGTCTGTGTAGGAACTGGGAGGGGTCTGTGTAGGAACTGGGAGGGGTCTGTGTAGGAACTGGGAGGGGTCTGTGTAGGAACTGGGAGGGGTCTGTGTAGGAACTGGGAGGGGTCTGTGTAGGAACTGGGAGGGGTCTGTGTAGGAACTGGGAGGGGTCTGTGTAGGAACTGGGAGGGGTCTGTGTAGGAACTGGGAGGGGTCTGTGTAGGAACTGGGAGGGGTCTGTGTAGGAACTGGGAGGGGTCTGTGTAGGAACTGGGAGGGGTCTGTGTAGGAACTGGGAGGGGTCTGTGTAGGAACTGGGAGGGGTCTGTGTAGGAACTGGGAGGGGTCTGTGTAGGAACTGGGAGGGGTCTGTGTAGGAACTGGGAGGGGTCTGTGTAGGAACTGGGAGGGGTCTGTGTAGGAACTGGGAGGGGTCTGTGTAGGAACTGGGAGGGGTCTGTGTAGGAACTGGGAGGGGTCTGTGTAGGAACTGGGAGGGGTCTGTGTAGGAACTGGGAGGGGTCTGTGTAGGAACTGGGAGGGGTCTGTGTAGGAACTGGGAGGGGTCTGTGTAGGAACTGGGAGGGTGAGTGGGGGGGGGGGGAGTCGATGTGGGAACTGGGAAGAGTCATTATACAATTTTAAGTGACCCAATTTGCTTGTTGTCTTCCAGATCCCTCCCGCGTCATCCTATACGCAGAGAGCATCGACGGGAAGGGTTAGCGGACGGCCGGACGAGACGACAGAAGGACGAAGTCTGACCCTACAACACACACAGAATTTCCCTTATTCCCCTAAAAACAAAATAAAAAAAACAAACAAACAAAAAAAAAAGTAACCACACCGACCGCAGTGCGGGATTCAAGATGCGTCACAGAAATTGTGCCCCAAAAAAGCCCACTTTACCCCCATCCCCCCCTGTGCCCTCTGTTAAGAGGGCCGCGTCACTCGTTGGCCCTCCAAGGGGTGGGGAGAGTCCCACATGTTCTGGCGGTCGGGGGCCGGGTTGCCTCCGCTGCTGTGTCATCGGGGTAAAATAAAACAGGGACAGTTTCTGGACCGAAGTGGAAAATCCTGGTCCGTCGGGGCCGGGTTGTTGACCCGCGGATTCGCTTCTCTCTCTCTCGTCGCTGCAGAACATGACAGCCACAGCTCCGCCTTTCAGCTTTCTTACTCTTCTTTTTTTGTTTGTTTCACCCACCTTTTTGTCTCGGCCCCCGGAGGTCTGAGATAAGTCACCTCCAGGGGGCGCTGCGGTGCAGATGGGTACGGAGCTCGCTGGCAGCTCTGAACGCGCTCCGTACCGCTGCACGGCATCACCCTTCCTCCAGGGAAAGGATCCTTTCAGGGAATCTTTTACCTTTTTTAGAATTTGCACCTTCCTTTTTTTGATTTTTTGTTTTGTTGTTTTTGTTTTTTTTCATCCCGAAGTTTAACCCTTTTCACAATAGATTGTGGCTGGGGCGCCAACTCGGCAATTGGTTATACGCCAGCCTGGGATTTATATTGTGATTAAAATCTGTTTTATTACCATTTCTGTCTCGCTGCTTTTGTTTCTTCCAGCGTCGCTTCTCTTGTGTGATGATATGTTGCTTTAAAGAACTCGCCCTGGCAGTGGGGCCACTCCGGCACTGCAGGGGTTAAGTGCTCATTATTGGGGGGCTCACATGAAGCTGCATTACTCACCCTCCCCTCCGCCAATACTCCGGCTGTGGTATGTCCCTTGGCGTCCTCGCATCTAATGTAGCTGCATTAGACGTGATGACGTCAGCGGTCTTTAGACCACCGGAGCCCGGGGAGGAAGAGGCTGCGAAGACCGGGCGAGCAGCCTGGTGGGACCGAGGACCAGGTGAGTCTAACTGCTTAATTGGACAAAATGAGTCGCCGTCCCCCCCTTGCTGGGCGGGGGTAGCCCCACTGCACAAGTACGGTTTTTATTTTTTTCCCTTTTTAAATGAAACTGTAGCCAAATTTATTCCAGTTGCGGGTTGAGACGGGTCAGAACCTCCCTCTGCTTTTTTGCAGAATTTCTTTAACTTCCTCCTGTGGTCACTGCAACAGGAAGTGAAGGGAAAAAAACTGCCACCTTGGGAACCAGAGCAATTAAAATCTGAAGGAGACTGATATCCTTTCCACTTCAGATTTGGCAGTTTAATGGCGGGTTGTTTTTTGTGGAAGATAATGGCCATGCCTCTGCCATGCCTTCTTATTGACCCGGTGGCCAGTAGAGATAGGTGGAGGCTAAAAGAGGCGGGGCTAATATCAATGTACTATGGCAGCTGTGGTTGAAAATTGCATAACACGGGGCACTTGGCCTCTAAATTTAAAGTGACATTAAATTTAGGAGTTAAAATACTTGAATGAAATGTTTTATTTAACTGAACAGCAATGTATCTTATTTGTGTGTCACTCGGCTGTAGATCCTCCAATCATCTCTGACACTGTCCTTCCTTCTGGAGGGTGGCTACGTCTGTTCCCCATGGTCCCTGTGTGTGTTGTAAAGTAGTCACCGCTCCAAGCTCGCTCCCGGGATGGACTGCAGTCTCATGTTTAGTTTACTAATTATTGAGATTGTAGTCTATGCCGGGAGCGAGCTTGGAGCGGTGACTACTTTACAACACACGCTTTTGTACAGTCACAGCTGAACTCCCATTTCCTTTTTTCCCCGACACTTGGAGCAAGTCTTCTCTTGAAACTGATTACTCTCAATTCCCTTCAAACCTGCATCTCCAGAATATATCCCTTTTTAATGCTGCAGCAGCTGTCTTGAGCCCACCTTGAGGTCATCATCAAGTCCCCTCATGATCCATACCATTGTTAGAGTATGGGCTGGTCTCCTCCGCTGGGTCCTGGCAGTGGGTTGTTACAAGGGATGCGCCAATACTAGTACAGGTACTCCTACTCGCCCAAATGCTCCGATACTTAAAGGAGAACTATGGCGTTAAGGCTTTTCCCCATAGTTCTCCTTAGGGTAACGGGAGGACACAAACTAGCGTCCTCCCGTCACCCTAGGCTCAGTATATAGGGAGCTACAGCTCGCGGTATACTGAGACGCCGGAGCGGATCCCGACAATTGTGCCGGGATCCGCCCAGCTGCGTGAGTGACAGCTGGCTCTGCCTATCTAGAGTCAGAGCCAGCGGTACCCGCCCCCTCCCCCGTCCGTTCAGCCAGTCAGCGCTGGCGGATCGGAGCGGGGGGAATCCAGCCCCTCCCCTGTCACGGCAGAGCGCCGTGACAGGATCGAGAGGTGAGCGAACGCTGGTATGTGTTCGCTCACCTCCCGATCTGCTGAGCCGACCTGTGACAGTCTCATTGTCACAGGTCGGCTAGAACTATGAGGTGAGTGAAAAGCACTCTTCTCATAGTTCTCCTTTTAAAGGACATCCAGAGCATATGCATGCTCCCTGGGTGCTGCAGACTTCATCTGTGCAATCTGCTGATTAATTGCTTCATTACAAATCAAGCGGCTGATCAGCAAATTGCACAGCTCAAGTCAGCAGCAACCAGTGTCCAGCAGGAGGAGCAAGCACCTCCAAAGGGATGTATGGGGGGGGAACAAGGGACGCCATTATGTGTACCTGATACTCCAACTTTGTCACCATCGCCAGCTGCACATACGTTCCTTACGATGCCATTCAAGTGAAGAGAGGAATACCTGGGTAAGCTCCAGTTTGCGATGTACACAGGGCTCTGGACTCCGCCCCCCCCTTTCCTCATATGGTGGCGATGAGTACCTGAGTGAGGAGGAGATACAAACTTAGGTACCACATATGGAAGAACAGATTCTTCTATATAAGACTTTAGCTGATGACAATGTTTATCCTCTAAGGCAGGGGTAGCCGAACTCTGTCCCAGCTGTGGGTGAAACTACAAATCCCACGATGCATCTCTCTCCGGGAGTCGTGTCTGTGAGAATCTTGCAATGCATCATGGGATTTGTAGTTCCACCACAGCTGGAGGGCCGGAGTTTGGCTACCCCTGGTCTAAGGTTAAAGTAGAGCAGCCATGAAAGAGAGAGGGAAGCCACTGCTGACCCCACCTTCTGAAAATGCTCACTGCCCGGCCGATATGCTGATCCTCTGGCTTTAATCCTTCCTCAGAAGAAGAATGTAGATAAGGATAATTGCTGTGAAAATCGGAAGTTCTCATCTGCTTGTGCCGGGGGCAGTGAAATGAAAGTCATGAAATCAGCATTATCAGAGTCAGGTCAGCAAGGACGGGTGTCATTTAATGTACTCTTGATACATTTTTTTTTTTTAAGCTGAGCCCCGGGCACAAAAATGTTAATTTAAATATATTCCTCAATAACCACAAAGGATATATAGCCATTTTATGTGCACCAAATGCCTCTCTAGACCCAGATGTTACCTGGTAAAAGTAGCAGTCACATCATCATTGTGCTGTACATAGCCGGAACAGAGCTGTGGGTGTCCCCACCCACTACACACTGCCTGAAGAGACCTACAGGAGGGGGCGGAGACAAGACCAGTCACCCTGCACAAGGAGAGCAGCAGTGACGGGTCTTTATTACAGGAGGGGGCGGAGACAAGACCAGTCACCCTGCACAAGGAGAGAGAGCAGTGACCGGTTCCTCCAAAGGGATGTATGGGGGGGGAACAAGGGACGCCATTATGTGTACCTGATACTCCAACTTTGTCACCATCGCCAGCTGCACATACGTTCCTTACGATGCCATTCAAGTGAAGAGAGGAATACCTGGGTAAGCTCCAGTTTGCGATGTACACAGGGCTCTGGACTCCGCCCCCCCCTTTCCTCATATGGTGGCGATGAGTACCTGAGTGAGGAGGAGATACAAACTTAGGTACCACATATGGAAGAACAGATTCTTCTATATAAGACTTTAGCTGATGACAATGTTTATCCTCTAAGGCAGGGGTAGCCGAACTCTGTCCCAGCTGTGGGTGAAACTACAAATCCCACGATGCATCTCTCTCCGGGAGTCGTGTCTGTGAGAATCTTGCAATGCATCATGGGATTTGTAGTTCCACCACAGCTGGAGGGCCGGAGTTTGGCTACCCCTGGTCTAAGGTTAAAGTAGAGCAGCCATGAAAGAGAGAGGGAAGCCACTGCTGACCCCACCTTCTGAAAATGCTCACTGCCCGGCCGATATGCTGATCCTCTGGCTTTAATCCTTCCTCAGAAGAAGAATGTAGATAAGGATAATTGCTGTGAAAATCGGAAGTTCTCATCTGCTTGTGCCGGGGGCAGTGAAATGAAAGTCATGAAATCAGCATTATCAGAGTCAGGTCAGCAAGGACGGGTGTCATTTAATGTACTCTTGATACATTTTTTTTTTTTAAGCTGAGCCCCGGGCACAAAAATGTTAATTTAAATATATTCCTCAATAACCACAAAGGATATATAGCCATTTTATGTGCACCAAATGCCTCTCTAGACCCAGATGTTACCTGGTAAAAGTAGCAGTCACATCATCATTGTGCTGTACATAGCCGGAACAGAGCTGTGGGTGTCCCCACCCACTACACACTGCCTGAAGAGACCTACAGGAGGGGGCGGAGACAAGACCAGTCACCCTGCACAAGGAGAGCAGCAGTGACGGGTCTTTATTACAGGAGGGGGCGGAGACAAGACCAGTCACCCTGCACAAGGAGAGAGAGCAGTGACCGGTCTTTATTACAGGAGGGGGCGTAGACAAGACCAGTCACTCTGTACAAGGAGAGAGAGCAGTGACGGGTCTTTATTACAGGAGGGGGCGGAGACAAGACCAGTCACTCTGTACAAGGAGAGAGGGCAGCAGTGACCGGTATTTGTTACAGAAGGGGGCGGAGACGAGACCAGTCACCCTGCACAAGATAGAGCAGCAGTGAGTGGTCTTGATTACAGGAGGGGACGGAGACAAGACCAGTCGCCCTGCACAAGGAGAGAGAGCAGTGACCGGTCTTTATTACAGGAAGGGGGGGGGGGGACAAGACCAGTCACTCTGTACAAGGAGAGAGAGCAGTGACCGGTCTTTATTACAGGAAGGGGGGGGGGGGACAAGACCAGTCACTCTGTACAAGGAGAGAGAGCAGTGACCGGTCTTTATTACAGGAAGGGGGGGGGGGGACAAGACCAGTCACTCTGTACAAGGAGAGAGAGCAGTGACCGGTCTTTATTACAGGAAGGGGGGGGGGGGACAAGACCAGTCACTCTGTACAAGGAGAGAGAGCAGTGACCGGTCTTTATTACAGGAAGGGGGGGGGGGGACAAGACCAGTCACCCTGCACAAGAGAGAGCAGCAGTGAGTTGTCTTGATTACAGGAGGGGGCGGAGACAAGACCAGATACCCTGCACAAGAGAGAGCAGCAGTGAGTGGTCTTTATTACAGGAGGGACGGAGACAAGACCAGTCACCCTGCACAAGGAGAGAGAACAGCAGTGAGCGGTCTTTATTACAGGAGGGGGCGGAGACAAGACCAGTCACCCTGCACAAGAGAGAGCAGCAGTGAGTGGTCTTTATTACAGGAGGGACGGAGACAAGACCAGTCACCCTGCACAAGGAGAGAGGGCAGCAGTGAGTGGTCTTTATTACAGGAAGCTCAAAGTCTCACTTAGAGGGATGACCCCATCCGTCTGCTGCTGCTCCTTCATTGTCCAATGAGCAGACGAGGGCGGAGTCAGTGACCACGCTTCATTAAACACTCATTTGGCAGCTAAATGGCTTCCATTGATGTGTTTCAGCTGCGTATTGATCCTGTTAGCTTTATCCGGCTTTAGCTACGCCCGGCAATTATGTAACCCTCTACACCAGGAAGGGTTTAAAAATTGGGGTGTATTTCTGACAGTCGGGGTGCTAAGGCCGCCATTATAATCCCGCCATATTCTTGTCCGTCAAATAAAAAGATTGATTGTCCCGTTATACGCCGCCCAGGGATAGTCTGCTCCCCCCTCCCTTCCCCAACCATTAAATTCTCTCCCCAGGAAGTGTCGGACAGGAAGTGCTGCTTCCTGCTCTCCGCTTCCTCCTCGCTCTTTCATGGGGGGGTCAATGGCGCTTTGGAATTCCTGCCGGGCAGAAAAGGACGCGACTCCGCGATTAGAACATTTCACGCGCTGTTCCTTTTATTAAAAAAAAAATGAAAAGTTCCCATGACAATTTTTTCTCTCTTTAACTGTCTGATCTTAATAGAGAAATCCACGTTCCAGCCATCGCTCTTGTTTCTATGGTAACTGCAACCAGGCCGGGTTTGTTTCTCAGAAATTAAGGAGGCCCGGCAGGCGAGCGGTTAATACGTCGTTTCTGGAAAACTCTGGAAAAAGGTCGGTCGGCCCCCGTCAGGTGGCATGCCGCGGAATGGCGGTATCGGGGAAGCGTAGGAGGCACGCACACGCGCGCGGTGGGGGTTCAAAGCAATTTAAGATGCAGCAAAGGGCCTATTTCATTCTTGGTGGTGCGTTGACATGTGTTGAGACGCCCCATTGAACTGAATGGGCTGCCGCCATTTTAATGATACACGGGGGCTTCAGCAAACTAAATGGCATCAAGTAGAAACGAATGGCCGGCCAGCGCACCGTAACGTGCCGAAAGATCAGACGTGACCCCTTTTTTTTTTCAATGCAGCACCTTCCAAAATGAATGGCGCGGTAATGCATGTTACGTATGTTACCATGGCGGCAAAATCTCAATGGACCCTTACTTGCAAATGTTAAGACTCCATTTCTTAAAGGAGAACTATGAGGGGGGTGCTTTTCACTCACCTCATAGTTCTAGCCGTCCTGTGACAATGAGACTGTCACAGGTCGGCTCAGTAGATGGGGAGGTGAGCGAACACATACCGGCGTTCGCTCACCTCTCGATCCTGTCACGGCTCTCTGCCATGACAGGGGAGGGGCTGGATTCCTGCCTCCGATCCTCCAGCGCTGACTGGGAAAACGGACGGGGGAGGGGGGCGGGTACAGCTGGCTCTGCCTCTAGATAGGCAGAGCCAGCTGTCACTCACGCAGCTGGGCGGATCCAGACATAATTGTCATAGTTTTCCCATTTAACATTTGCAAGTAAGGGTCCATCACGAAAGGCCGTTTCTGAATGTCGCCGTGTATGTCTGTAGTTCCAGGTAGCAGCCATTTGTTTTAAAGGGCCAGTCCACCTGAAAGCGATGTTAGAGTTTGCGGTGGGTGGAGTCAGCCCCCAGCTTTTTATACCTCTTGGGTTTCCAATAGGGAGATCTCCTGCAGATAATTCCTGGATCTGTTCCTGCCCGCCTGGGAGTCCTGGATGGCCACGCCCACCTTTGTGTGTCCCAACTCCTCCTATAAATAAAAATGTTTCCATGGGGTGGATTTCCTTTGAGGGCCGGTTTACCCCACAAACGCTGCGTTCCAGAGCATTCGGCCTCTGAAACGCAAGTCGGCCGACTCCCTGTGTTCAGGTGCGGGGCATTGAAGTCAATGGCACCGCAGCCACCGCCCGAAACGCAAGCACATTAGTGCCTGCGTTCCGGTCCACTGCGATCTGCAAAAATACTGCAAGCACTATTTTTGCAGATCGCACTGGACCAGAATGCAGGCACTAAAGTGTCTGCGTTCCTGGTGCGGGAGATCGCACTGCAGACAGGGGGCGGGGCCATTGACTTCAATACACCGCCACGCCACCTCCCACCCCTGAACGCAGCGTTCCAGAGGCCGAACGCTCTGGAACGCAGCAGCCTTTGTGGTGTGAACCGGCCCTAAATGTCAATCAGAATAAAGGTTTTTGTTCTGATCCCAGTAATTAAAATCTCATATAAGATTTCCCAGGGTGATTTCAAGTCGAAAGTTATCAAATCTGCAGCTTTCAGTAAAATATTTCCCGGTGATCCTGCCACAAAAGGCCTTGTCCAGGCACTGCCGGTTATAGGGTGACAACTGTTTCCCAATTGTGCTCCTGGGTTGTCACTCCCTCACCCAGGTACTAAACTGCTTACCTTCATTCCCTCTCCTGAGATCTTTCCTGAGTTACCCTTCCAGGCAAAGCACAGTCACAACCCAGACAGTTTAAATGTATACTGAGAGGGGTTTCCATTTCGGGAACGTGCAAAATAATGAAAACTAAACCATCCCCTAGGCCAAAATCCTTAAAAAAAAAAAAAACAGGCACAATTGGTAAAACGTAGCCATGTGAATCGTGATGCAAACCAACAAAATGGCGGAATCGTCCTCTAGCGGCGACACATGGGCAGAGCCAGGCCGCCTGCCAGTTTCCATGGTGAAGCCAGTTGCACGTGGCGCCGACGTGGATCCGCCGCCATTTTCTTGTAGCTCGGGCATTGGGCGGCCCCCACGCATGTACCTGGGATCGGGAAGAGCGCCGCCAGGCGGGTAAGGACAGCTCTGGGAGAAGGGGAGGCGGGCTGGCGTGAAGTGTGAGACGGTACCTGGCCGCGGTGGGCAGATAGGACGTTGCTGGTGGTCGGTAGGAGGGGGAGGAGCCAGTGGTCACGGTGCCGCCGCTCCCATGATGCACCGCGGTGTGATCAACGCAGCTGAGGGGTTTTGCATGCGGACATGAAGAGGGCTTGTTGCCCATGGCAACCAGTTTGAGGCCTTGTATCATTTTAGGTTCATTGACGACAGATGAAAGCTCTACTATGGGCGACAGGAAATGTTATTGTTCATCTTTCATATATGACCCCAAATGTGAATAATGAGTGAAAAAAGGGGTAAGAAGGTGAAAACTGCTGTGCAGCTGATAATGCTATTCACAACCTAACAGAAACAAATTGGGAACATGCGTCAATTGTGCATTTCAATGCAGAAAGGAAACGCATTTGTTCTGTGGCGACAAACCTGCCCAATGTTGTAAATAAAGGTATACATAGATCTAACAGGGCCCACAGTGATCTATGTATTTCCTATTGCAGCTCTCTGGGAGAGGAAACCAGAGAGCTGATGCTGATCCTCTGGCGAGTCACTGACAGAGAGCCGTAGTAGGCAACCTGGGCACTCTGACTGTGGTAAAACTACAAATCCCATCATGCTTTTGCCTCTGGGAGTCATGACGGTGGCTGGCAGAGTCTTGCAATGCCTTATGGGATTTGTAGTCTCACAACAGCTGGAGCGCTGAGCTTGCCTACAGCTGGTATATGCATCGATGACCCGCAAATGATTGAAATCAGGAGGTCAGCATGACATGTTTTGCAGATGATATTCAGCAGTGGCAATGACAGCGTCCACATCTCTCAGGACAGGATCCAAGATGGAGGCTTTTCTTGGGGGTGACCCAAGTTTGGCTGCAAGTCATGTGATAGATGATGACCCCCCCCTCCTTTAATCTGCACCTTCTTCTTGTCCCCCTCACATTCAGGTGTTCTGGCTGAGGCCGGCTCCGTCCTTGGTGTCCCGGATAAAGTCTACCATGTGGTGGCAGCCATGCCAGGGCCTGCGATCCTGCGTCCTCCATCATCCCCCCATGGTGACTTTTTTTCTCTGTGTCGTGACGCTAGGCTTCACCTACCTGTCCCTGGGAGTGTACATCAAGACCCAGCCAGTGAGAGACATCGATTTCACCCAGGTACCGGGGTCCCAACCAAACTGGACCTTATATGGAGTCCTTGTTGTATGAGCATTATCAATGATTCGTGTCCTTAAAGGCACAGTCCACCTTTTGTCCAAAAAAGTAGTAACTAGGGATGCACCGATACCGGTTTTTCAGTATCGAATGCCGATATTTATCTTTCGGTACTCGCCGATACCGAGTACCCATACCGGTACTTCCACTAGCATAGAGCCGGCTTCCCTGCCTATCAGGAAGTCCGGCGGCATGTCATTACCTGCCACCTAGCTTCTTGATTGCCAGGAAAGCCGGCTCCATGCTGTTTGGCCGGCTTCCCAGCCAATCAGCATCGAACCAGCCAAAAAGCATAGAGCCGGCTTCCCGGATAATCAGGAAGCCGGCTGTGGATTCATTGCCTGCCGCCCGGATCCTGATTGGCCCGGGAAGCCAGCTCCTGGTTCCCTCGCGGCGCTGCCGGTTAGAGGAAATCTCCCTCTAACCGCACATTCCGGTATCGGCTCCAATACTAGTACCGGTGCATCCCTAGCCGCAACGTTGATCTCATGATTAATGTGCATATACGCAGCTAATTCTCAGTTTCTCCCCATATTTTTCAGGACTGGGGTGACATCCTCCAAGCCGTAAGCGTGGGTAAGGTCTGCGCTCGGGGCAACAGTAGCCGACGCAAGACCACCGTGGAAGGGACCAGGACTGTGAATCCTGAGGACAGCGCCAATGTGAACGCCCTGGTCACCTTTACCGTCTCTCCGTGGCAACTAGCGGTCAATCACAGCAGCTTGCAGATAATAGCCACGGGCACCCAGCTTGGCATGAGAGGTCAGTTTGGGTGGCAGACCTGTATGTATGAAAGGGCTTGTTCTGTGTCTCTCACCATTGAACAGAAGCATCAGCCAGATTCTGTAATCAGCTTTGTGAAAGTGTTATTAAACCCTCAAAGTCAATGTAGATATAAATGTAATAGCACAATTCACATACTTCCGCCTATAGGGTGGCTACGCTGTCATTTAGGATCTCCCTGGAGCCCCAGCGTAGCCACCCTAACATGCACACTCTCAACAAGGCTAATGCATGGAGAGAGCTAAAGCCCTTGATCTAAGTCAACCACCTGCCCCTCCCACAAGGCCAGTGATTGACAGCAGCTCCATTAAAGCTACCCTACTGAGCCTTTGCGCTATGTCACTTCTCTGCCCCTCCCACCAGGCCAGTGATTGACAGAAGCTCTGTTCCAACTACCCTCCTGGGCCTTCGCTCTATGTCCCCATACACCTTACGACCAAGTCTTGCGATGGTCGTAAGCTTATTAAAAGCTAGTACGATCTGCTCATCTTGGACAGGGGAGGGGCTGTATTCCCCCCGCTCCGATCCGCCAGCGCTGACTGGCGGTTTGGACGGGGGAGGGGGCGGGTACCTCTAGATAGGCAGAGCCAGCGGTTACTCACACAGCTGGGCGGATCCCGGCATAATTGTCGGGATCGGCTTCAGCTGCGGCGTCTCGGTATATAGGGAGCTGTAGCTCGCTGTATACTGAGCTTAGTGTGAGGGGAGGACGCTAATTTGTGTCCTCCCGTTACCCTAAGGAGAACTATGGGGAAAAGCCTTAACCCCATAGTTCTCCTTTAAGTCACTCAGCTGCTCCTCCCACCAGGCCAGTGATTGACAGCAGCACCTTTCCAACTACTGTACCCTCCTGAGCCCTTGCCCTATGTCACTCTCCTACTCCTCCCTCAATGCCAGTGATTGACAGCAGCTCTGTTCAAGTTACCCTTGTGAACCCTTACTCTATGTCACTCCCCTGCAACCCTCACCAAGCCAGTGATTGACAGCAGCACCTCTCCAATGACCCTCCTGAGCCCTTGCTCTAAGTCACTCCCATGCCCCTCCCAACAGGCCAGTGATTGACAGCTGCTCCGTTCCAACTACCCTCCTGAGCCCTTGCTCTATGTCACTCCCATGCCCCTCCCACCAGGCCAGTGATTGACAGCTGCTCCGTTCCAACTACCCTCCTGAGCCCTTGCTCTATGTCACGCCCCTGCTCCTCCCACCAGGCGAGTGATTGACAGCTGCTCCGTTCCAGCTACCCTCCTGAGCCCTTGCTCTATGTCACTCCCATGCCCCTCCCACCAGGCCAGTGATTGACAGCTGCTCCGTTCCAGCTACCCTCCTGAGCCCTTGCTCTATGTCACGCCCCTGCTCCTCCCACCAGGCGAGTGATTGACAGCTGCTCCGTTCCAGCTACCCTCCTGAGCCCTTGCTCTATGTCACTCCCATGCCCCTCCCACCAGGCCAGTGATTGACAGCTGCTCTGTTCCAGCTACCCTCCTTAGCCCTTGCTCTATGTCACTCCCCTGCTCCTCCCACCAGGCCATTTTGCTCATACAGCTACCTTTAGCGCTTTGTTTCTTTTGATCATACTAGGTTCCACCTTTTTTCAGAGCAGCTTGGGGTATAATTATTCACATTTATTCACATTTATTCTTACTTTATTAATTTAATTAATTTAATTTATTACTAAATTTTATTTTTCCAGAAGCGCAGATTTATTTGTTTACATTGTTTGGTGCAGAATGCCTTGTAGTACAATGATTACTGGTAGAGCTACAGGGATATTTTTTTTTAATGAAACTTTAATTCTGCTTTAAAGCCATTCTTTTGAATAATAAAAATGAAAGATTCAAAAACAGCTGTTCCCTGACCAGCCAAAATAAAAAATGAGCTTGGAGTTGAACCTTTTGAATGACAGATGTTTGGGGTTTATTGAGCAGAGAGTAGTAACTCCAATATTCACTTTGAGGCAATAGGAATGTTCCCTTTTTTGATTTCCATCCATATGCAATAGTCTCAATTCACAAAGCTTTACCCAAAGGATAAGGATCTTTATTTTACCCATGTGACTGTCATTTTCAAATCTCATTGGATGGGCATTTCATTTTTTGGAACATAGGAATCCTTATCCTGGTGTGTGTGTTAGCTTTGTGTATGAAGACAACATTTTTTAAATACAGTTCAGCGTTCATTCCGCTGCAGCCCCTGAGATCGTCGCTGGCTCCTGTTGGCTGCGTTCACCGGGATTTACAGGTCAGGAAATGCTGCTCGGTCTGAGTGAGGATCTTCTTGTGTCCGGCTCTTCCTGTGTGGTGTCCTGTGTTTCCTCATACCAGAACACTGCACATATTTCCCACCACCTATAGACAGTTTTTCGTCCTGGACACTGAAGGGGCAGTCTGGTGTACACAATGACTTGCTAAGCTATCACACCAGGAGAAGGGCCCATTCACACCACATCCAGAACATCTCCAGACCAGACCAGATTGTTTACGGACCCAAAATGCATCCCAATGTATCCCTATGCTATTTACGGCCTCTGTTCACACCAGCGCAGTCCCTTCCAGACCAGACCAGAAAAATACTGCTGGTCTCAATTTGTCTGGTCTGGAATGCATTGGACCTGCGGGTAGGTTCACACCAGTCTGGTCCGGAAAATGGTGTGAAGATGCCCTAAGGATCCTTATTTCCAAAAAACAGCCCGTTCTTTTCATTCATCTGGGTCTAATGGTTTAGAATAACGGTGCTGCAGCGTTCATTGGATCAACTGTGCCACCAAGGACGGTGGCCGAGTAAAAGGCAGGACAGGCGATAGAGCAGTGAAGAAAACAAAAAAGATACCTTATCGCACTCCTTACTGGAAAACCCCCCAAAATTGGATTGGGGGGGGGTGTATGCTCGCAGTGACCGCGGATGGCGCCGCCACTCGGTACAAAATGGATAGATGTTGGACTACAACATTGTTGGTGTGCTGGTGACATCTATCCATTTTGTACCGAGCAGTGAAGAACACATAGTGTATCAATCAGAGTTAAAGGAGAACTATGAGGGGAGTGCTTTTCACTCACCTCATAGTTCTAGCCGACCTGTGACAATGAGACTGTCACAGGTCGGCTCAGTAGATCGGGAGGTGAGCGAACACATACCGGCGTTCGCTCACCTCTCGATCCTGTCACGGCTCTCTGCCGTGACAGGGGAGGGGCTGGATTCCCCCCTCCCCGCTCCGATCCTCCAGCGCTGACTGGCGGAACGGACGGGGGAGGGGGCGGATACAGCTGGCTCTGCCTCTAGATAGGCAGAGGCAGCTGTCATTCACGCAGCTGGGCGGATCCAGACATAATTGTCGGGATCCGCTTCAGCTGCGGCGTCTCAGTATACCGCGAGCTGTAGCTCTCTGTATACTGAGCTTAGGGTGACGGGAGGACGCTAGTTTGTGTCCTCCCGTTACCCTAAGGAGAACTATGGGGAAAAGCCCTGACCCCATAGTTCTCCTTTAACAAGTCGATGATAAGGATAGATACTGACAGGCTGAGTTTAAACGCAGTCCAAACAATTCAAAGCAGTACTCCATGACGCCAACAGTCCGTTAGATGTCAGACATAATTCTGTCCAAGGCATGGGTAGGCAGAGTTACCCTTTGACCAGGCACAGACTGAATGTTCAGCAGTCTACTTAAACACTGCTGATTAGGGCAGGTGTGGTCTGCAAAGAAGTGAGCTATACTGCTGGATGACAGGCAGCAGATGGCGAGGGCGCAAGATTAATCGTTACCAACAGTCACGCAACTAAAAATAAAGATCTCTATCCTTGTATTAAATCTTTGTGAATTGAACCTATCTTGGGCTCACAGGAAGTGGGTTGAGTGACCCCGGGGGTCATTCAGATGAAGCAGCAGAAAGGAATCACTGCAGTGACAGAGTACTTTAGATTCCTTCACCTCGGGGTTTGGGGTGTTCTGTCCTCTTTGAGGTGTTCACGGTTCTCCTTTTGTATCACTCGTAGGTCCCGGTGAGGACACCCCTCTGACTTTTTCTCTGACCCCCTACTGGTGGTCCATCCAGTGTAACGGCAGTGAAGCAGAGTGCACGGTGAAGTACTGTGTCAGCTTGACTGGTCCTCGAGATCTTCTGCCGCAGAGCAGGTAAGGGGGAGCTGCATTGTACACAGGGGACATTGTGGCTTCAGGGAGCGTGAAAAGAAGTCACATGACCATATGGGGAAGCATCACAGCAAACGTTATTGCAGACCTTTACCTGCTTCTGTTCTGTAGATATTGAGAGCTAGTTCAGTACACTTGCTGAAATCTTTCAATATCAGTGCTCATTTCTGCTTTTGCTGTGATCACATGATCATTCGTAGTGCTGTAATAAAGAACATTGCACCAGCAGCATTGCCCTACTCTGTGTGTCACACTCACCTACTCCCCAATCCAGCACCAGGTCTTCTTTCCGGAATGGGGTCACCGGCACTTCCTGGTTTCAAGCACGGTGGCCAATCAGGAGACAGCCCTGCTACTATTCCTTACCTGACCCCCCCATGCCCTATGTTCTTCATGCCAGCCACCAGCCTATGACACCCTGTGACCCCAGAACACCCTGTGTTACACAGTGACCCCATAGTATCCTGTGTCATTTTCTGACGCCAGTGCCCCCTGTTCTCCTCCATGAACCCCCTGGAGTGCCTTCTAGTGACTTCAGAGAATCCTTTATCACCCAGTGACCCGAGAGCATCCTGCATTACCCAGTGACCCGAGAGCATCCTGCATTACCCAGTGACCCCAGAGCACCCTGTATTACCCAGTGACCCCAGAGTATCTTGTGTTACCCAGTGACCCCAGAGTATCCTGCGTTCCCCAGTGACCCCAGAGTATCATGCGTTAGCCAGTGACCCCAGAGTATCATGCGTTAGCCAGTGACCCCAGAGTATCATGCGTTAGCCAGTGACCCCAGAGTATCATGCGTTAGCCAGTGACCCCAGAGTATCATGCGTTAGCCAGTGACCCCAGAGTATCATGCGTTAGCCAGTGACCCCAGAGTATCATGCGTTAGCCAGTGACCCCAGAGTATCATGCGTTAGCCAGTGACCCCAGAGTATCATGCGTTAGCCAGTGACCCCAGAGTATCATGCGTTAGCCAGTGACCCCAGAGTATCATGCGTTAGCCAGTGACCCCAGAGTATCATGCGTTAGCCAGTGACCCCAGAGTATCATGCGTTAGCCAGTGACCCCAGAGTATCATGCGTTAGCCAGTGACCCCAGAGTATCATGCGTTAGCCAGTGACCCCAGAGTATCATGCGTTAGCCAGTGACCCCAGAGTATCATGCGTTAGCCAGTGACCCCAGAGTATCATGCGTTAGCCAGTGACCCCAGAGTATCATGCGTTAGCCAGTGACCCCAGAGTATCATGCGTTAGCCAGTGACCCCAGAGTATCATGCGTTAGCCAGTGACCCCAGAGTATCATGCGTTAGCCAGTGACCCCAGAGTATCATGCGTTAGCCAGTGACCCCAGAGTATCATGCGTTAGCCAGTGACCCCAGAGTATCATGCGTTAGCCAGTGACCCCAGAGTATCATGCGTTAGCCAGTGACCCCAGAGTATCATGCGTTAGCCAGTGACCCCAGAGTATCATGCGTTAGCCAGTGACCCCAGAGTATCATGCGTTAGCCAGTGACCCCAGAGTATCATGCGTTAGCCAGTGACCCCAGAGTATCATGCGTTAGCCAGTGACCCCAGAGTATCATGCGTTAGCCAGTGACCCCAGAGTATCATGCGTTAGCCAGTGACCCCAGAGTATCATGCGTTAGCCAGTGACCCCAGAGTATCATGCGTTAGCCAGTGACCCCAGAGTATCATGCGTTAGCCAGTGACCCCAGAGTATCATGCGTTAGCCAGTGACCCCAGAGTATCATGCGTTAGCCAGTGACCCCAGAGTATCATGCGTTAGCCAGTGACCCCAGAGTATCATGCGTTAGCCAGTGACCCCAGAGTATCATGCGTTAGCCAGTGACCCCAGAGTATCATGCGTTAGCCAGTGACCCCAGAGTATCATGCGTTAGCCAGTGACCCCAGAGTATCATGCGTTAGCCAGTGACCCCAGAGTATCATGCGTTAGCCAGTGACCCCAGAGTATCATGCGTTAGCCAGTGACCCCAGAGTATCATGCGTTAGCCAGTGACCCCAGAGTATCATGCGTTAGCCAGTGACCCCAGAGTATCATGCGTTAGCCAGTGACCCCAGAGTATCATGCGTTAGCCAGTGACCCCAGAGTATCATGCGTTAGCCAGTGACCCCAGAGTATCATGCGTTAGCCAGTGACCCCAGAGTATCATGCGTTAGCCAGTGACCCCAGAGTATCATGCGTTAGCCAGTGACCCCAGAGTATCATGCGTTAGCCAGTGACCCCAGAGTATCATGCGTTAGCCAGTGACCCCAGAGTATCATGCGTTAGCCAGTGACCCCAGAGTATCATGCGTTAGCCAGTGACCCCAGAGTATCATGCGTTAGCCAGTGACCCCAGAGTATCATGCGTTAGCCAGTGACCCCAGAGTATCATGCGTTAGCCAGTGACCCCAGAGTATCATGCGTTAGCCAGTGACCCCAGAGTATCATGCGTTAGCCAGTGACCCCAGAGTATCATGCGTTAGCCAGTGACCCCAGAGTATCATGCGTTAGCCAGTGACCCCAGAGTATCATGCGTTAGCCAGTGACCCCAGAGTATCATGCGTTAGCCAGTGACCCCAGAGTATCATGCGTTAGCCAGTGACCCCAGAGTATCATGCGTTAGCCAGTGACCCCAGAGTATCATGCGTTAGCCAGTGACCCCAGAGTATCATGCGTTAGCCAGTGACCCCAGAGTATCATGCGTTAGCCAGTGACCCCAGAGTATCATGCGTTAGCCAGTGACCCCAGAGTATCATGCGTTAGCCAGTGACCCCAGAGTATCATGCGTTAGCCAGTGACCCCAGAGTATCATGCGTTAGCCAGTGACCCCAGAGCATCCTGTATTACCCAGTGACCCCAGAGAATCCTGCGTTACCCAGTGACCCCAGAGTATCATGCGTTAGCCAGTGACCCCAGAGTATCCTCCATTACCCAGTGACCCCAGAGTATCCTGCGTTACCCACTGACCCCAGAGTATCCTGTTTTATGTCGTCTCCCCTTTACAGATGGTCCCCTCAATGTCCCGTGAACAGTTCGGGTGTCTCCGTGCTCCCAGAGATGTGTGTGCTGGAAACAGAACCTTCCGCTTCTACCAAGTGCTACAGCCTCGTGTATGATGGATACCTGAACCAGAATGTCCTATCCGAGGTGAGAAACGCTTCCGTCACTTCAATGCAGAGACCAGTAATGACATGGAGGTCAGCAGGAGGAACCAATGAGAGCTGTGGGGGACCCGGGAGGAGATGTGGTATATGCAGACATTGAGCAGGATACAAAGTAGCGACATCATGACCAAGGAAAGTTTGTGTGGTGACCTTCCATTTACACCAGGTCTGGACAAATCCCAGAAAACCAGGTCGCCAATGCTCCTTAAAGATAACCGCTGGCGCCTGACTTCTGAAGTTTTCCCTAGTTGTTATTGGAGTTGGCTCCTAAAAAATCCTGCTGGCTCCTGGATTGGGCACCCTGGATCCTGGATTGGGCACACTGGCTCCTGGGTTGGGCACATTGGTTCCTGGATTGGGTGCACTGGCTCCAGAATTGGGCGCACTGGTTCCTGGGTTGGGCACACTGGTTCCTGGATTGGGCACACTGGCTCCTGGATTGAGCACACTGGCTCCTGGATTGGGCACACTGGTTCCTGGATTGGGCACACTGGCTCCTGGATTGGGCACACTGGCTCCTGGATTGGGCGCACTAGCTCCTGGATTGGGCGCACTGGTTCCTGGGTTGGGCACACTGGTTCCTGGATTGGGTGCACTGGCTCCAGGTTTGGGCGCACTGGCTCCAGGTTTAGGCGCACTGGCTCCAGGATTGGGCGCACTGGCTCCTGGATTGGGCACACTGGCTCCAGGATTGGGCACACTGGCTCCTGGATTGGGCACACTGGCTCCATGTTGATGTTTCCACACACTAGTATAGACTCGTCCTGTGCAGGTCACTGATCACTGTGATTTCTCTTGCAGGAGGACGCGGACCTGTGTGCACAGCGATTGCTCAATGTTGCCCTCGTCATCCTCGTCCTGGGGCTCCTGTGGATGGTATTGTTTGCTTTCTGTACCCCGCCCTCCAAAGAGAAGAAGACGGATGGACCCCTATGATGTAACCCAACAGACTTATCGGGAATCCAAAGATCTGTGCCATGGACGAAACGATCAATAAAACAGGATTCCCAAAAAATTCCCAGTGGTGTCATGTCTGCAATGGTTGTCTGCCAACCCAAAATATACAGCCCATCACTCAGCCCAGCCCATCACTCAGCCCAGCCCATCACTCAGCCCAGCCCATCACTCAGCACAGCCCATCACTCAGCACAGCCCATCACTCAGCACAGCCCATCACTCAGCCCAGCCCATCACTCAGCACAGCCCATCACTCAGCCCAGCACATAGAAAGCTGAAGTTTAATAATCCTATGCTTTGCCTTCCCTGGTCCTCCCCTTCCCCCATTATCAAAATGCTGAGGACATTATTCAATATAAACCTTTTTTGTTTTCATTACATACCATATATTAGTTCCTGTGTTGCGTCTCTGTGCTTCTCTCTGCAATGCAGGCAGATCATGGCTGGTGGGAGGGGCTGCCAGGGTGCCGTACATAGCTTCCTGAAAATATCACAGCACCCTGCCTCAGTACTCCTCTCTCGACAGCCCTCAGTCCCGATGCAAGCAGTGGGCCGGCTCGGGAGGAGTTGTGCAAATATCAAAATGCCTCGATGGGTGGGTGTCAGTCCGGAGGAGTAAGCTTCATTTAATGCAGACCACCCCCCAGGTAACACACGCATGTGATGCTGAGCCTCCATGATTCAAAGAACTAGAGTTCAATGAATGAAAGGGGCGGGGCCAGGGACAGTCATGGAGATATTGTTGTGCAACATGGAGATCTCATTGTAGAACATGGGGACCTCACTAGAACATGGATATCTCATTGTAGAACATGGAGATTTCACTAGAACATGATGACCTCACTTTGGAACATGGATATCTCACTGTAGAACTTTTGGATCATGCTGAAATACATGGATATCTTGTTGTAGAACATGGGGACCTCCCTAGAACATAGATATCTCATTGTAGAACATGGGGACCTCACTAGAACATGGATATCTCATTGTAGAACATGGAGATTTCACTAGAACATGATGACCTCACTTTGGAACATGGATATCTCACTGTAGAACTTTTGGATCATGCTGAAATACATGGATATCTTGTTGTAGAACATGGGGACCTCCCTAGAACATAGATATCTCATTGTAGAACATGGGGACCTCACTAGAACATGGATATCTCATTGTAGAACATGGAGATTTCACTAGAACATGATGACCTCACTTTGGAACATGGATATCTCACTGTAGAACTTTTGGATCATGCTGAAATACATGGATATCTTGTTGTAGAACATGGGGACCTCCCTAGAACATAGATATCTCATTGTAGAACATGGGGACCTCACTAGAACATGGATATCTCATTGTAGAACATGGAGATTTCACTAGAACATGATGACCTCACTTTGGAACATGGATATCTCACTGTAGAACTTTTGGATCATGCTGAAATACATGGATATCTTGTTGTAGAACATGGGGACCTCCCTAGAACATAGATATCTCATTGTAGAACATGGGGACCTCACTAGAACATGGATATCTCATTGTAGAACATGGAGATTTCACTAGAACATGATGACCTCACTTTGGAACATGGATATCTCACTGTAGAACTTTTGGATCATGCTGAAATACATGGATATCTTGTTGTAGAACATGGGGACCTCCCTAGAACATAGATATCTCATTGTAGAACATGGGGACCTCACTAGAACATGGATATCTCATTGTAGAACATGGAGATTTCACTAGAACATGATGACCTCACTTTGGAACATGGATATCTCACTGTAGAACTTTTGGATCATGCTGAAATACATGGATATCTTGTTGTAGAACATGGGGACCTCCCTAGAACATAGATATCTCATTGTAGAACATGGGGACCTCACTAGAACATGGATATCTCATTGTAGAACATGGAGATTTCACTAGAACATGATGACCTCACTTTGGAACATGGATATCTCACTGTAGAACTTTTGGATCATGCTGAAATACATGGATATCTTGTTGTAGAACATGGGGACCTCCCTAGAACATAGATATCTCATTGTAGAACATGGGGACCTCACTAGAACATGGATATCTCATTGTAGAACATGGAGATTTCACTAGAACATGATGACCTCACTTTGGAACATGGATATCTCACTGTAGAACTTTTGGATCATGCTGAAATACATGGATATCTTGTTGTAGAACATGGGGACCTCCCTAGAACATAGATATCTCATTGTAGAACATGGGGAGGTCACTAGAACATGGATATCTCATTGTAGAACATGGAGATTTCACTAGAACATGATGACCTCACTTTGGAACATGGATATCTCACTGTAGAACTTTTGGATCATGCTGAAATACATGGATATCTTGTTGTAGAACATGGGGACCTCCCTAGAACATAGATATCTCATTGTAGAACATGGGAACCTCCCTAGAACATTGATATCTCATTGTAGAACATGGGGAGGTCACTAGAACATGGAGATCTCATTGTAGAACATGGGGAGGTCACTAGAACATGGAGATCTCATTGTAGAACATGGGGACCTCACTAGAACATAGATATCTCACTGTAGAACATGGAGATCTCACTAGAACATGATGACCTCACTTTGGAACATGGAGATCTCAGTGTAGAACATGGAGATCATGCTGAAATACATGGACATCTTGTTGTAGAACATGGAGACCAACTGTCTCTGTGTTCCACAACAAGACATTCCAAGGACCTGGAGAACAACAATCTTTCTGCAAAGTCATTCCAGCAAGTGAACCTGTTGTTATATATAGAACCCAACATTAGCATAGAAGCTCCTAAAGAGGAA